AAAACAAAAGTGTTGCGTTTATAATTTTGTTCCCCACTAACACCTGATATTAAAATTCCACACAATGCGACCCCAATCTGGAGAGACTCTAATTACCGATTATACCTTTATTTTGTGCCATAAAAGTGCCGAAGATGCGTTATTCATTCAATAGAACTGAGGGAAAAATATAATCAACACAGGTGTAAATGAATGATATACAGTGGGAAATCATTTGTGGGTGATTGTGTGTGTTTCATTCATTTGTGCAGCTGATCTATTGTTAACTGGAAACAGCGTAGCCTACACAGGTACTGCAACATACGAGGACAAACTAACAATATTTTTTCATACAAAGAAAGGAATAACAGAACATTTGCCAAATTTACAATAACGGATAAATAATTAGGAATTCGCCATAGACAGTGTTTTACAAAGTTTATAAAGTTTCCCCTAACGCAACTACACTCAAAAAAGAGTTAAGGGAGTCTGGGGCTTACACCCCTAGTGTGTGGTTTACTTTTCTTAGACTGTACAGTTAAATATCTATTGCCACACACTATTAATTGGGATAATTTGTATTTAGGAGCCTTTGAGTCCATTTACACCTGGTATTAAAATGTGATCTGTATCTTTTATCTGCAGAATGACATCTAACCATGGGCCTTTGCATTTACACCTGGTATTACAGTGCTTGCATTGTGGTTGTGTCTCAGTATGCAAATTATTTAGGTGGAGCAGGCTGACTATCCAACAACCATGGTCCCAGGTCAAGGGAACTGGTGCTGCTGTATGGGCTTAACTTATGCATCTTTTCTCTGGGTTACAGGGCGTTCAGACTGAAAACAGCACTGCATTTGGGAAGGGCCATGTTGCTTCAGGTAAAATGAGACAAGGGATGCGCCGATCCAACCTTTTCTCTTCCTATACCTATGGAAGAACTGAAAGGCAAGTGAGAAAATAAGTCTGATCGTAATTGTTGTCTCGCCTGTACACATAAAATGTCTGTTAGCAAGTTATGTAACATCGTCATGTCTTTCTTTTGGTTAGAAATGTGATGTGCTGAGAAAAAACTATTTTTCTCCTTTGTCTCTCAAAGCTTCCGTAGATACCAGTACTCTCTTTTTCCCAAAAATATAATCCCTATATGTTGTAAGTAAAGAGCTAGATGTCAACTGCTTGTCAGTATGTGAAGTCATCAGCCGGACTCAGCACTGTATTGATTTTTATTTGATTTTTTACAGAAAAGGACACACCCCAATCTTATCTTTTTCTTTTCTTTTTGAACAAAACCACCATGAGCAAACAGGCGTGTTTCCAGAGTTTTAAGACTGGGGGGGAGGGGGGCACTGACTTATGCAAGGGTGGCATGAAGTATGTGCCTCAGTTTTCCAAACATTTCCAACTTATACAATTCCAGCACTGTTCATGGACCCAGTGTGCAGAAATAGTGTCATCAATTAAGCTATGACGAATATTATTAACTATTTCTTGACAAGCTGTTAGTGGTGATATAATTATCCTTTGACTTGATTTTGTAGACAATGATAGCAACTGTCACCTGAACATTTAGTCAGCAGTAGATCATCAGTATTAACATCAGTTGACCAAACTGTCGGGTCTTCTTTTTGGCAACCAGGTGCTCCCCTTATGCGATTATTAGGAGTTGGTTCATCGAGATAAGCAGTAGGTGGTGGCAAGAACACGTAATTAAAAAAGCGGCAGTGGAAGCTAAACTAATGAAAAACAATCTCAAACAATTCTGCAAGTTTTAATGTATTAATGTGAAGAAGGTTCCTTCAGATCTGGGAGTAGCGATCATGGATGTATTATAGAGCCATGGGAGCAATGAGGAGACTCAGAGCAGATCAGTCATGTGAGTTAAATGTTTGCTACATCAGAACTTAGTTGGAATTATAGTTTACATCTGTCATTAACCCATTCACTACTTCACGTCAAGCAAGAACACAATGCAAAGACTTTTTTTTTTTTAATTATAAATCAAACTTTTCTAATGCAATGCTTCAAAGTATGCATACAAATGCACTGACACAGCTCATGACTGCAAGGCTGGCTTCAGAGGTGGGCTGTATGGTAGACAGTGTATGCTAGAAACTAGAAATATTTAAAGTATTTTTTGGGGGCTTTTATTGCCTTTATGATAGACAGCTGAAGATAGCGGAAGGGACAGAGAGACGCGGGATTACGCAGCACAGGGCCCCACAAGGGTCAGATACCGAACCCTGGGCGCTGCAGCAAGGGTCAAGGACTCAGCCTCGGTACATGGGTCGCCAGCTCTACCCACTGAGCTAACCGGGCGCCCGGAACTAAAAACATTTAAACAACTAGATACAAAAGCATTATTAAAACAAAAAACAAACCCGAGTTTCCAATTGAACCTGCTCACTGTGTAGCTATGACAACAATGGCAAGTGTGTGTCAGCATGAAGCCCCTCTCCTGTATGAAACAGCAGAGCACTGAGCTCACTGCTGACTGGGTGACACACACACACACACACACACACACAGTGAACTCATTGCCCCCATTCCCTCCGTCCGTCTCTCGCCTCCTCCTCCTCATTTATCTCGTTCCTCCTCTCTCCCCTTCCCTCCCTTCAATCTGTGCTCTGTGTTCACCCTGTCCTCCCTCACTGGCAGAATCCAAAGCGAATGCTTGGAGAGCACAGGTCTTCTAGAGAGCTAGCTAGGTTATGACACACAGCGTAAGGGCAGACTCCAGCCAAAAGATAAGCGAAGAACTGCTCTCTCCTTTAGAAAAAGGGCATCTGACAACAACTAAACTGCACATTCCTACAAATTCCTAACCTGATATTCTGGAGTGAGGCTTGTTTCAGATGGATTTTGGAGCGACCATGCAATATATTCATTTTTAATACTATCACAGGCTCGTATGGACAGGCTGGATAGTTGGGCCAGTGTCTCTCTGGGTGAGCACCACTTCAGCCCTGTAAAACAAGAGTCACTGTTTGACAGCTCAGCATTCCTTTGGGCCTCAGGCTCAGGGTGACATAATCCATCCTCGAGAGCCCAACATGGCACCCTCCCTTCCCCCACTAACACATTCCCCGTGTCTCAGAGATGGGGACATACAAACTTGGCAGGGAGACAACGTTGGAGGCCTTCAAGGTCATGGATGAGGTATAGGTTGGAGTGGGGTAAACAGAGGAAAGTCATGGCTCGGTTCGTAACAACTGTAAAATTGAAGGACTGAGTCTACTGTAGCTGTCAGTGGTACAAGAAAAGAGCTTCAGTGAGTCTGTCAGTGGCAGTGATGTGCTGCTCCCTATGGGTGAGACAGATGGGGCTCATTGCACACAATGTATTCCCAAAAAGACTTCTAAATCTGTGCGAGTAAAACACATTCGACAGAGCAACCCGCTTGAGAGCCACGGTCAGTAACGGGCCCACATGGGTCTCTTGATGTCTCTTGATCACAGGACATCCAATGCATCCCAACAATAAAATTACTAGGGCTGTAGTCAACCAAAGAAAATCTGGTAGGGATTCCACGCCAATACTGGGTGATTCCTTGCAGCTTAACAGCAGAAACTCAGGTCATCCAGTTAAAATGAATGTTAAAATGAACGGTATGGTTTAAAGCTTAAAGAACTCAAGAATTAGAACATACCAAAGTAATGTTGAGTAGTTGTTGCTTACTAAAGAAGAATAAATCATGCCCAACAGGCACAAAAGCAGCAGGCAATGACAGATAATGCCAGGCTAGCTGCTACAGTTTGACATATTGGAAAGCTGTCTCTTTTATACCCACTGCCCCAGCAACAGGGTTGATTGAGGAAACTTCTTTAAGTGTCATGATTTCCACAAGATCTGTCCCTATCAGAGCATGGTGGCTTCAGTTACACAAAACACATCTGCCTGCTGCTGATTTTCTCATGTAACAGATGTCAAAGCTTCTCACTTCTTTGCACATCGACATCTCTTGGTGGACCACCACAAATACATGCATTTATCAAGCAGTAGTCATAAAGACAGAAAGCTCAACAAGTTAAAAGAAATGGTCTGACATTTCAGGAAATAAGCTGTCTAACTGTGTCAGCTACACAGGGTAATTTATTATACCATCCATATGAATCAGGAATAATTCCACTCCACTCATAAAATCTTAAATTAATTCATAAAGTATGCACACAAATGGAGAGTATATGGAGAGATATTTTGACTTGTTACAGCATTTTATGGAAGTCATAAAATTAAACAATTCAATTCTGATATTGTGCAAGCTTGCTTACTCACTACTGAATGGAATGCAGCAGCTATCAATTATTTCTGTGCTTTTCCTGCTATGACGGATTACATTTTTTCATAAAACAAAATGCCTATTGCCGCTCAAGTTCTGAGCAAAATGACATCAGGTAGGTCATAAAAGACACACAGTCCCGTATCTTTTATCCTGTACATCAACCCAGTTTAAAATGCAGCCTTTAGCATGGATACACATCTCACCAGTAGCTCATATCACACAAACTATTCATCTTGCAGGTTCTAGCTCTCCTGGTGGCTTTTCTGTTTTCATAGATACAGGCTCCTGTCTAGGCATGTACATTAGTGTGAATGAGTTCCTATCCAAATTGTGTTCAATTGTGCTATTACCCATTGCCCAAACAATGTTCACAGAGTGAATTAAATTGAATGACAGAAATGTTTCAAATGTCTATCTTAAACAGAACTGCTGGTTTACTCAGTCCTCACAGATTGTAGCTGCTTTTTTGTTAAGTTATGCGCATGCATCTTCACTGTGAGACCCAGTTGTTAAGTTGATTTAGCAAACTGCCAAACTGCTGCTGTAGCTGCCGTTAGCAGCTTTGAAACATTGCAACAGAACCGGGCTCAGCAGCCTCCCAGTGAACACAACCTCTAAAACAGAGTACAGTCTAACAACAGCGGTACTGAGGTGATTAACAGTTTCCTAATGGGATGCAGGAGCCAAAACCAGTTAAAAAAAAAAAAGAAAACCTGTACTGTATTCCTTGTCGTAAAAGCAGAGTCAGCTAAGAAGTCCTCTATAGTTGCTTGACCAGACGGATGTAATACACCTTTTAGAAAGCAAGGGTAGCCGTTGTTCATAGTGTTTGTGCTAAGCAAGGCTAAACACATATTTATCTGATACCAATGTTTTTATCTTGCTTGAAGTAAGAAAGCAGTTTCCAAAATGTCAGGTATGCATGTAATGAAAGTTTTTCAAGCACTTACCACTGAAATGCGTTGTAATGGAAGTAAACCATGCCAAGGCCATATAAAAAGGCAGCATTCTGAAAGAAAAGTGTTGGAAAATTGTTATAAACAGCACTATAGAGGTTCTTCAGCACATTGTAATGATTACTGTCCACAACTTGGTAAGAATCTAAATTGCGGGCAGTTCGGGGGTGTTTTTGGGGCGGCAGTAGCTCAGTGTGTACGGACTTGGCTTGGGAACCGGAGGGTCGCCAGTTCAAGTCCCACAGACCACAAAATATGGAGTGTGGACTGGTTTCACCTCCTGTGCACTGCTGAGGTGCCCTTGAGCAAGGCAACCTAACCCCGAAACCTGCTCATGGGGTGCTGGTAACGCGGCAGCCCCATCACTCCACCATCTCTCCCCTTTGCATGTCCACATGTGCATGAAGTGTGCATTTCAGCCTGTGTGTGTGAAAAAAAAAAAAATTTCCCCCCTAGGGGATCCAATAAAGTATATCTTTCTTCTTCAAAGAAATGTTAACACGTCCAGAGAGACTCACTGCGTTATAACTCAAATGCATCTCAAATAATTAAGCTGGACACCTTTTCTGCCCAAAAATATCTCCATTCCCACATAAGAGACCAGTTAGAGCCTTATTTGGTCAACCAACATCACACCATGGCCAAAACTGGCTTTTCGGCACAAAACTCAAAATTCTATTTACATCACTGCTGCTACCAAGCAAAAGTCTGGCCCCCACACTGTTATATAGCATGGGGGGGGGGGGGGGGGGGGTACTGGGGAGATCTGTAATCCCAAGGAGCCCAGAGCTGTCAGGTCCAATCACAGTCAAACTCTCAGCACCTCTGCTTAATGGGCACACTAAACAGTGAGACATTAAACCAAACGGGCCCATTCATCCACACAGAGAGCATGGAGAAGACAGGATGGACGCCATCATATCACAGCTGATTGGACAATTTAGATCTCGCCCATGAGCAGGAACTGTAGGCAATCTACACTGGAACAAATATTTCTGCACATAATGCATCATTATTTTCGATTTAAGCTGATTTATACATAGTAAAAAATTCTCTCAGGACACTTTTCATGTAGAGCAGGTTTAGAAACTATTATAATATTATAGATATATCAACAATATAATATCACAAGTTGGAATGACAAACGCTAACCTAATAGCTATGTTATGCCAAAGCAGTGTCATGATTGGCATCAGTGCTAGACAAGGCCATTAATCAACTGATCTGCTTGATCAGTTAAATAATAGTTTGGACAATATGACAAAACAGAAAATGTAATAATCACACTACAGATCATTTTTGCAATATAAAGCGACATGCCCTGATAGAGAGTCACCCCATTGTGGAGGACTTAACTGTGGAGTGGTAGAAATGTACGGGGGCCCTAAAGGATCACAGTGGGATTTTGTTCTTGAACATTTAGCGTGTTAGTCCGTCCGTCCGTCACTTATCATCCACTGACAGTTTAGGGAAATGCTCTGCAGACACTACAGAGGAGGAGACGATGCGACACTCATCATACACGCTCATTCCTCCCTTCAAAAGGCCGAGCTCCGACAGCATACAGCCACTGGCTGTGGGCACAGCTGCAGCTCTGTCAGGCCCTGCTGGGTAAAGCTGTGGATACAGTCACTGCTCAGACTACAGCTGCATTTGTGGTTGAATCTACAATGCTATCGATATGGTTACAGTGGCTGTGTTTTAAGAACTCTTTACTGCTCCTATTAACATTAGCCAAAAAATCATTGTTAAGCCACAATGGGTCAGTCAGTGGTTAAGTAGCTCCTCTAGTTATCTGTCTATCTGCTGATATAGTCTTGCACCCTTCTTTCACTGTGGTCACAACCAGAGGCAGTCTACTACATAATACTGTATCATAACCAGGGTTGGCCTGTAATGCATTACTTGTAATATTACTTTCCCCAGGGTTAGGGTTAGGGTCAAAACGTAGCGTGAGTAAGCAAAATCTATTACGAGGGAAAGCAAAATAATTTTATATGAGAAATTCCCACTGTGGCTTTTTAGTGGCTCCACAAAGTCCACAATGACAGCATGTGTCATAAAGAGAAGCAAGAATAGCCAATTTAGGTTTAAAGCGGCTATAATCAATATTTTTATAATGCCAATGTATCGAAGGGCACTGTGAAAACAATGTGATAATTGGGTCGCTTGTAGTGATAAACCTACAGAGAATTATAACCCGACCTTGCTGTTCACCTCAGCTTTCCAGTGAGTTTTACTTCAGTGTTGGGTCACTCTCACCGCTCTCGTAGTGTCATTTATGGCCACATCAGGCAGCTGTTTTCAGTAAAAAGTTAAGTCTGTAATCCAAGACGAGACATCTACTACTTAAAGGACAGAACCCTCTCTGACGTGCTGCAGTCAGTGGATCATTTCCAGTTGAGTGCTTCTGTGTAGCTGGTAGCGTATTTTTGTTGCTATAGCAGTTCAATTTGTTATGTTCTTCACACTAGTTGAGCTCAAGCACTCAAAGCTCTCTCCCTCTTTTAGCGACTTTGTCCCTAGTCCCACTGTTGTTAACACACTATCCAGTTCTGCTAGATACGGTACTTTAGTTTAGTTCGTTAGCTGCTGTAGTTAGCCAAGCGATGCAGCTTTTCTTATTTTCAAACTTGGCTCTAGAGATTGCTCAGTGTGCAAAGCAGTTGGGTTGGGAAATCACACTCTTGACCTCGTTCTATCATATGGCATTGATATTGAACATTTAATAGTCTTTCCACATAATCCTTTCCTATCTGACCATTATTTAATAACTTTTGAATTTATATTATTAGATTATAAGCCATTAAGCAAAACCTCCTACAGCAGATGTCTATCTGACGGTGCTGTA